TAGGAAGCCCAAACTCCCCAAATACAGCTCCCACTATCAGTGCTTGATGGATAAATGTCTGGCTTCTTTGTCTAAGGGCTCTGTGCGCTTATACTCTGGTGCTATCACTTGAAAGGTGCAGCCACAGTTGGCTGGTCCAGGGCAACCAAACGACTACATTAAATTGAGTCAGCAAAATCTTAAAAGGATTAATCAATAATTGCAGTACTACCTATTTAAATTAATTGACCAATGTTTCCATGCAAGAAGAGTTGCTGATGTCCATTCTCTGTCCTGAGGGTTTTACTGGAAAGACTTTATGCTTTAAATGTGATTGAAAAGAGTGCTGAAAAGATCTGTATGTCAGGAATGAACACTGCTCCCTAATCCTTTGAATTCTAATTTAAAATACAGATACAGACACTGGGAGTTTTGTGTGTGTTTGTCTTTAATCCATTTTCAATTCCCAAGGTACACTTAGTAAAGTGTATCTGTACCTAAACACTGGTATCTTTAATGACTCTTTCCAATGTGCCCCTCCACACACAGATATTTTGCATTTCTAATTTGCCTGATACACAGGCATAATTGAACTGCAAAATGGAAGCATGCTTGCTACTTTAGTGAAATTAGAATTCAGTGAAGGTTATAAAAATATTAAACTTAATATCATATTACAGGAAGCGTTAAGTATTTTTGATGGGCCCATAATTTTACCACTTCACCTGCTGTATCCGCTGGCAAACATGGTTTGGAATATTAATGGAAAACTCCCTCATTATTAAACTGCAGCATTAAAAAAAAAAAAAAATCCACAACCACTAACAGCTTACCACAAAGATATTTTCAGAAATTATGTGCCTTAAAAATATTTTCCCACCATACAGTTCAGAAAATAGATTTAATTTTATAAAGCTAGAACAAATGGGAAGATCCCCCACTGCCTCAAACAATTCGTTAATTCATAAAGTTCTTTATTCCTCACATTTGAAATCTCAGGAGGAAAAAAAATCCAACCTCCTCTTCTCCAATCATTATTTAAGTGTGCCTATTTTGCTGAGGTCCAGATTAAATAATTCAAAACCATCTCTAGTTGATAGTACATATCATGGAGCAAGGGGCCAAAATCACAGCATTCTGGGCCAGGGAATGCAAACAGAAAGCCCCCTGCACCCCCTACCTAGATGTTGCCCCATCCAAAAAGCACAAACTCTAGAAGGGGCTACAATAAAAATGAGATGAGATGAGCACCTATGGAAAGGACAAAGAAAGGATTCAAATAACAGGTCCAAGGGACCAGATCCTAAAGCAACTCTTTGGGAAAGCCCACACATTATAATCCACTGACAAGAAAAGTTTAGGTTATGCCTGAGTCCAACGTTACTTTACCACCTAAGTTTATAAAAGCGAGTTTTTTTTAGGACCCAATAAGTGATCTGCCATGTTCTGAAGAAAACAGAGCCTAAACTTTTGAAGCATAACGTAAGGTCCCCTGAACATCAGAGTAATGTGAAAAGGTGAGAAGAGCTTCACAGGGTATGTCTGAAAGACATCTGGCTTTCCATGTCACAATCTGGACTGGTGTGCCTTCAAAACCTTGACCCCTCTGGCCAGCACAAGTGCCAGCTCCATGGGCGGACATCATCATCACCATCAACCCTCCCTCTCTTCGCACCTTCCTGTCCCCCTCCTGTCTTTCTTTCCTTCCCCCTCCCTCCCTTCCTCCTTCCTCTATTGAAAATAATGATTTACGACTTTCCCTAACAACTAGTGCACCCCAAGGTTTTCAGAAATGGGAAAAATGCACTGGTTATGTCCTTCTCAGGTATGCAGCGACACTCTGGGTGGTGGGCAGGGCAATGCTAGCAGTATTTTAAGTTGATTTGGTGGCCACCTTTCTAAAGATTATATCTGAAAATTTACTGGCAACTTTTCACTATAAAACAAATGAATATTACAGAAGGAAGAAAAAACACAAATTTCTTCCCAAATTAAGAAAGGTCTGTAAATAAATAAAATGTAGGGGTGAACTGATTTCTAAACAGTCAATTCAAGCATTATGCAATCCACCTTCTTCAAAAACTAGCTGGTTTTTGTCAAAGGGAGAGGAAGAATAATGTAACCCCACTCTTGTACCATGCTGTTGATCATGCAGTATTTGTAAACATTCTGTAAGGTACATACTCTTCTCCCTACTTTACAAACGAGAAAACAAGAACCTAGAAAGGTTAACAGGTTGGTCAAAATTCAGCCAGCTGGTTAAACAGCATAACTGTCTTCCTGTTCCAGTTTCCTGACCTCAAATCCACCAATCTTTGAAGACAGCGGGTAAAACCAAGTTTGGCCATGTGTGCATCTGGGGAGAAGGGGGTGCTGGCTTTTGGATAATGTGTACTACCTGCCCACTGGTATCCTCCTCCTCCTGAGAACTCCATGAACTCACCAAGATGTCATTGTGTAGCTGTATTAATACCAAGAGGACCTCTGGACAAGGGCAGGGCTTTTTATCCCAAGCTATACATGTCTAATAAATGATGAAGTGGTCCCTCAGCACATACCACTGCAGCAAATGGGGCTAGCTCCTTTGCTGACTTGCAAGGCTGTCCTGGAAATGCCATGATATCTGGCTTCACCTTGGTTCCCCTCAAGCACTGGGATAAATACCAAACAGTAACAAAGGAGCCCTTTCTAAGGTGCAGATATGATCTTGTCTCATTTAGGAAGAAAGTCTACAGACACATGGACATTTATTCTTCAACTGCTTTTTCCCCAAAATACATTAAACTTTGAGAATGATGGTACTTTTTATATTCATACATAAGTGGGGTCGTCCTCTTAAACACTACTGAAGCAGTTTAGTATGATAGAAAGAGCACTGGATCAGGAGCCGGGCCACTACCTTCAAATACCAGTGCTGCCATGACCATCCATGTGACCCTTGATGGTCATGCCATGTGCTTTACTTTCTTATCTGCCAAAGGAAGGCCACAACCACAAAGTCTTGGTCTTCCTTGAGTGAACAATCATAAATCAGAACAAAGGCAGAGTTCGTTTTTACTTTTTAAAAATTCTTATGATGGGGAAGAATGAATTTTCCTGAAAGACAGACAGAGATGCCAGGTACGATGGCTCACATCTGTAATCCCAAAACTTTGTGGGGGCCAAGGCAGGCGGATCACTTGAGGTCAAGTGATTCAAGATCAGCCTGGCCAATATGGTGAAACCCCATCTCTACTAAAAATACAAAAATTAGCCAGGTGTGGTAGCAGGTGCCTGTAATCCCAGCTACTCAGGAGGCTGAGGCATGAGAATTGCTTGAATCTGAGAGATGGAGGTTGCAGTAAGCCGCGATCACACCACTGCGCTCCAGCCTGGGCAACAAAGTGATACTCCATCTCAAAAAAAGAAAAAGAGAGAGAGAGAGAGAGACATATACATACACCCATCCATATATATTTATATTTGGTATCAGAAAACACACCAACATTGTACAACTACCTACTGGGATTCTTTTATCCAGAAACCATGCTGCATTCCCTGTTCTTACTATGAAAATTGGTAATCCTCACCTAATGACAAACTTGCTCGAATGTGATATGGGCATGGAAATCGAGGGGAAGCAAACAGATAAAATATGGGAATAAAAGATTTCAGCTGCTCTTGATGTCACCAGAAAAATTTTAACCATACAGATCCAGGGGATATAGAAATGCCAAAATACTAGACCCTTCCTTTCTCCAGAGTGCTGCAGTCCAGAGCATGGGCTTCAGAGCCAGCCGGAATGATCCACATCTTGGCTCTGTCAATTGCTAGCTTCATGATCCTATGACTACCAGTCTCCTTCTTAGCAAAATGGAGGTAACAACACATCCCTCACAGGGCAGATAAGAGAAATGACATGAGACAGTATATGTGCAGGTCCAGCATATAGAAGCCCCTCAATCAATGCTGGCTTCCACCCTTCTGACTTCTGGATAATAACCTGATTCAAGAGTCCACATCAGGTCTTGCAGACTCAGAGAAGCACAGGGGGAGAGCTGGCATGGGTGCGCCATAATGAGAGAGACCAACAGATGCAGGGAATAAGAGTTTGCAGAAATGATCAGATAATGAAACACCTTATATCTTTCCAAAGAGGTGAATCATTTTCTTTAAGGTGTCAAATGAATAGCCAAATGTACCACAATCAAAATCTATCATGGAAAAAGCCAGATAGGTACTCATGTCAAATGAGCAGTAGCTTTTATTGATGCAGAAGCCTCTGTGACACGGAGTCACCTGATATTTACAGGATAAATACATACTCCCCCATAGCTCCTTCTTGGCTGCAGAAGTTCTAATGAACTCAAAGTTTATCCCATTTCTAAAATACATTTAAACTCCAACCAATCACTGACATCTCCTTAATTCTGAAATTCAATTCTCAATTTGGGCACTTTATCAGCATCTTTTCAAAAGTTGGACTTTGGAAAATATATGCACTCCCAGACAGAAGAAAAAACCCATCAGACATACACCAAACTGACACCCTTGAATATATTCCAATTTCCTCACCCCTCATCTCCCTTAGCGTTTCACAATCAGTAACGTGTAGTGGCCAATCACTGGAAATGACATGTGCTTAACGTCAGAAATCACTTATCTTAAATAAGAAAATAACTCCATTTAGCTTTCTCCCACAAAGTAAAATTAAGTTTGTTTAGCCTTTTTCATTTATTGCCAAAGGGCAGATTTAATTTCAAGGGAGTGAAAACAAAACTCATTCTGAAGTAAAGTCTAAAGTTACCACTTCGGTTTTGCTCTATTGAGGTGCAAGGGGACTGTAAGCATTGAAGTAAGGAGGCATTAATTACGGAAAAACAGGCAACTGGGACCCAGCTTTTTGATCGGAGGAGGAGGGTTGTGGGGGAAGTGGAGAGAAGTCTATCATCTTTTGCTACCCTGCATTTACAAACTTTAAGAAAACCTATGGTCTAGGGGCCTTTTGGCCTGCCCTCCAGGTCTTCAATCTCGGGACTTACCAGAAACATTAATTGAGGCCCCTGCATCGATGATCCCGCTGTTGGGCCTCACACAATACCTACGTGGTGCTGTGGTCTTCACCTTAAAACACACATTTCGGTCTGTCGGGTTGCCAAGCTTTAGGTTGGTGGTGACAACATCGGTAAAGGGACCTGTAGAATGAGACAGAGACTGATTGGGGATTTCATGAGGAAAGTTTAGAAGATTTATGGAAAGGACAGCCATAAATACAATTAAGGGAAGATTTGAGATCCATGATTATCTCATTAACATGCTAATGGATGGAAGAGATGAGCTGAGGTTAATGCACTAGCAGTAAGAGCTAATATTTACCATGTTCCCAGTATTTCACCAGATATCTAGTATAAGTGTTCTAACATGTGGCATCTCACTGAAACCTCACAACTTTATGATTATTGCTGTCTTACAGATGAGAAAACTGAGGCTTGAGGAAACAAGTTACTTATCTAAGTTTTCATGATAGTGGTAGTAAGAATCTGTAACCAAATGGCTTGCATCTAAGGTCAGTTCTTACCCATGCTAAATACTGATTTCTACAATAACAATATGAAATCTAACAGGGAGAGTGTAAAGGACTAAGCTCAGTCCAAAAGTGTGTGAAGAGGAGCAGATGGAAGAAAGAGTTTGAGGTGTTAATGGTCTATAAACACAGAAACTCTCAACATTATAGTGTTACTGAAGAAAACTTAATATCATCTTAGGCTATAGCAAGAAGTTCAGAGTCCTGCTGGGCAGTCCACATCTGAACCATTACAGACAGTATTAACTACTCAGGCTACCGAGAAGATTGAAACAGGCTCAGTGGCCTGAGGATTTTTTTTTTTTTCTGGGACAGAGTCTCGCTCTGTCACCCAGGCTGGAGTGCAGTGGTGCCATCTCGGCTCACTGCAACCTCCGCCTCCTGTGTTCAAGCAATTCTTCTGCCTCAGTCTCCAGAGTAGCTGGGACTACAGGCACGCTGATTTCAGCCTCCCAAAGTGCTGGGATTACAGGAGTGAGCCACTGTGCCCAGCCCTAAGGATATTTTTTATTACTATTATTTATTCGCTTCCTACTTTATTAGATTTTTTAATTAAAAAAGTAAAACATGCTTCTTGAAACAAACCAAACAATAAAAGATGTATAAACAGGAAGTTAATAAGCTTTCCCTTGTCCCCCGAGGTAACTAATATTAACAATACAGGAGATCTTTCCACATTATCTGTGCTTACACAAACAACACATGCACACATATGCAAGGGATGGGGGCTAAAAAATAATGAAATAATACTATTCCTATTACTCTGAAACTTGTTTTTCATTTACCCATCTATGGTGGACATGTGATCTCTGTGTTTATTAGTCAGGTGGGTTAGGATGAACTACAAAAACACAGGTCCTTTTCAACACCTTTTCAAATTCACGTATTTTTCACCTGTAAATCAGAATTTCTGTTTCCTCTAGGCAAGTTCTTTACTCTTGTCTCTACATTTACAAGGAAGCAGAAGGTGAAGGTGGGGAAAGGGAGTGTGCTTGTGTGTTCACAAACAAATATGTAATGTTGCTTCATTTGTTCCCCAAGAAGACCCAACAAAAATGTTCAAATTAGTGTTTTGAAAAATTTTTCAGTGAGACTCTAAGCTCCTGAGGGCAAGGATTATACCTTACCCATCTCTATAGCCCCAGCACTGTGCCTGGCATTGAATGAAGGTCTCAATCTATATATTCACGAAGAAGAAAACTACCTGTGAATTATCTCCAGCAAAATTAAAATCTCAGGCTGGTGTCTCTACTCTTGAGGTGCTCAAGGCATGAAAAAAGTCAGTCTGATATGGGCTTACCTTAACACGAATTAAAAAATCAAAAACAGTGATAAAGAAGGAAGGAAATGGTAGTCATTCCCAAAATCAAATGACAGCCAGTTCTGCTATGAGGCTTATTTTGAAAACACAAATTTGATCCAATGTGACTGATATGAAGTATATCAGGGAGAGAATGTGGGCATAAAATAATTTTTGCATTTGTTTCTGCATGATTTTATCTGCTATCAACACTAGGTGAACACAGAAAACTGCTCCTGACTAAACCTAGCTGCAAAGAAATACAGAAAACACACAAGCACACACACCTCACCCACCTACAGGATACCTCAGGTCACCTCGTGGATAATGAGCCACACCTGTCCGCACCTGGTGGTACAACTTTTCATACGATTTCAGGTGATCCTCCTTACTTCACATCATAGTAACACAGGAAACAACTCTTCTGATGTCCATATCGACAGACAAAATTTGGGTCTTTTTCAAGAAAAGTGCCGTATCTGCTGTAGCATTTGTCGTTTTACAAGGACCCTATCTTCGTGCATATGTCACCAACAGTCTTTGAGTACTGTGCCCCTAACCACACTTCCCTCATAAGCCCTGTGGTTGTTACCGAGCTATTCTGTATAGTGTGGTGACTCCAAGAACGCATTACAGCAGAACTGACTATACTACTGCATCATCCATTGTTTCGTGAATTATTATGCCAAACACTGTTCTCATTCCACAAGCAGTGAGACCTTCACAGATGAAACACTCCAAGAGAATTTCTCCATTTGCTTACCTTTCTATCACAAACAACCCTATCACTACATTCTAAGTCAGCTCCCCATGGGAAACTAAGAGTACAGAGGAGGCCAGGTACCTGTGGCCCAAAAGGATTTTCAGCTACAGTAAAGGGAGAGCCAGATGCTGACGCCGCTCCATTCTTGCATCAAAGTTCTTGGCATAAAAGGGAGCAACAGGACACTTGGTGCTGAGGCAGTGCTAGGGAGATTACGGAGGCAGCACTCTCTGTGACTACCCTTTTCCACTCTCCAACACAAGCAGTCTGACTCATAATAAAGGTGGAAAAAAGTCTGACCTCCTAGTAAGTCTCTTTGCTTGCTTAAGGAGTGGATCGCTTCAGCACTCACAGGGTGGGGGAAAAAGAATAACTATGCGAGCTCTGATTTTCTAGGGTCAAACACACACACACAGACAGGCATAAGGGGCACACAAACCTATGAGGGCACAAGCAAATCACCATATACATGCATTCCCTGACCCTCATCTGAAAACTGCAACTCAGAAGAACTCCACATAAGCACAGCAGCACCACAACGCTAGAGGAAGGAAGAAAAAAGTTGACAAAAATACACATGACATAAAGGGAAACCTGAAAAGAGGTGAGCTTTCAAATATAAAGCCTAGGGATGAAAGGTACTCAATGACAGTTTGAATGTGATTCAAAAACTCTCAGCCACAAAGCGTTCTAAATCTAAGCTTAAAGTTACCAGTTTCAACAAGATTCTGCCTCAAAAATATGCAAGTTTCTTCAGATCAGAATGCCAAGAATTCATAATGGCCCCCAAAACATCCAAAAATACATAGATCTTTTCTTTTAAGATGTTTTGAAGTACAGTGAGAGTAGAAAATAGAGATGCTAGCAAGATTTCACTGTGATGAAATGGAGAATACTTGTTAGCTTCCAACTCAGCTTCTAGTGTCTTTTCCTTCCCTCTCCCCCTTATGAAGTTGTGGTGTGGAGATCCCAAATTTAAGTATTTGTTTATTCCTTACACTGAACGTTTTTTCAAGGTACTTGAACAAAAATAAACCAAATTTAAATGTAAACACTTAAATGTTTTTGAAAACTTCCGGCTGGGCGCGGTGGCTCACACCTGTAATCCCAGCACTTTAGGAGGCCGAGGCAGGTGGATCACCTGAGGTCAGGAGTTCAAGACCAGCCTGGCCAACATGATGAAACCCCATCTCTAAAAAAAAAAAAGAAAATATCCCCAGGTTAATCAATTAACTGCTATTACACAGCAATCTTAATGGTGCTTCAACTTATATAAATCACATAAAAGGAAGTCTAAATTGTTAAAAGACAAGCAATATTTATAATAACAAACAGGATAAAATAAACATCCCAGATTTCTCCCTCAACAATCCTGCATCTTTATGTGCTTGGAATTTCTTGGCCTTTCACAGGCTTTCAATTGTAAAAATGTGGAGGGAGCTATACCTGAAAACATACGCAATGAAACAACATTATTGGTAAAATACCAAAGTCCCAGCAAGATGTTTTGTAAGAGCACACCAACTCTTCTCTTCCTACTCTGGGTAATTTACTCTAAGAATTTTATTGAAAATAAATTCTATTCGATTTGAGTAATTATAGGAAATAAACCATGTTAGTGTTCTCTTTTTCCCCTGTATTAATGGATTCGAATACACAAAACCCTCAATAAAAATGATGTAAAGGCTTATGAGCATCATTCAGATTTTTACTAGTCACTTTCATTTCATAAAACTGTCATTTCCATTAAAGCATTATGTAAAAAATGGGATTTTACTATACCAACATGCATATTTATCACCAATGAATTTAAACATTGCTTATCAAATAGAGTCAATTTTACAAATGAAACCTCCTTCTAAACTTAGAATTTTTCCTTTTTAGAGATTAAAAACATGATGTGTCTCTAGAACCACAGAATATACTTTTAACCATTTTTAATCTTCTATTCCTCATTTCAGATAATATCTGTACAAAACTAGGAACTAAGTATCTAAAATGTGAAATGGGAGGTTAAAAAATGAAGAAATATGAAATTGGGAGAAATTGGCAGTACTCTTTGAAACTGTTACTCTTTTTAATAACGTAAACAATGCCCTGTATGTCCTAGAATATGCATATATTCATCTGTGAAAATTTTTGTGAGTTTGTTGAAGATGCTTATGAAACATCACTAACTAACTGAAAATGAATTCCCTGACATGCTCTAAAAGGTATTTAGATAAAACTAAACACAGTATAATCTATTTCCTCCACCTTTCCCCAGGACCCACTGTGCTTGGATTTTGGTCATTTTAAATTGTATTTAAGACAGTAAGAGGAGCTAGAATTGACCTGTTTTAGAAAGTAAATAGTACAGTACCAGTAAAAGCTTGCATACCATTAAAAGTGAAAGAAGAAACAGTTGCTTTTTACTCTTAATTACCAAAATTAGGCCTTAAGTTGTAAAGTTCTGGTTTAAAGGTCAAAGAAGACAGTCACAATCCAGCACAACATTAAGAGGTCAGGTTCCAGGTGTTGAAAATGTCATTAAAAAAATGGCTGAATA